CTCTCTCTCTCTCTCTCTCTCTCTCTCTCTCTCTCTCTCTCACACACACACACACACAAACACACACACACACACACACACACACACACACACACACAAACAAAAAAGGGCTAGAAGAGCAGACACTTCGCTTCTGAATACCAAGAAACGCGGAGGGGGGGAGGGGGGAATGCTGTGGCACTGTTTCATCGGAATTTCACCAACTCATCAAGAGGCTGAACCCTCTGCAGAGTGCTGCGTCCCCTAACCTATGGATAACCCCAGTTGTGGTTAAGCATCATACAGGTCTTCCCTTGGGATTGATCCATCCAGATAATTTATATGAATGTATTTCTTCCTGATACATAGAGCTGGATGCCCGATACAGAGTGTGCATCCTGTTTGCTTTAACAAAACTCTAATCTTAATCTTAAGGTTAGAGACGGGACACCTTCAGCTGTGTTTTGTTAGCGCCCCTTGAGATCTATCTAATGATTCTAATCCTGTTTGTTATTCAAGTTGCCCAACAACTGATCCCCTTTAGGTGGGCCAGAGAAATAAGAATGAGGAGATGACGACGATGATTTGAAGAGGAAACAGCCTGAATTCTGACGACTGTGCGGTGAAAAAAAAGAATATTCAAAATTGAATATTCGTAATTTAGTACCCACAAAAAAATTGGTAGAGAGCATTAGTAATTTGGTACTAATTTACTAAAACAAAATGTCAACAACAACAACAAAAAGAAAAAAGAAAAAAAAAAGAAAAAAAAAAACGAGAATTGTTATGCATAATACGTCGCATGTAGAAAAGAAAAAGAAAAAGGAGAAGTCGGTGAATGTCACTTTGAGACGAGAAGAGGAGGGATGGGTGGGCATTTTAAAGTTTAAACCACCAGCAGTTGATATGAGCCTAAGTTGACGAAGCTACCACCTTCCGCAAAGCATGCGAGCCTGCAAGTGCACATTCCACAAAAGCGGAGTGCCACATCCACTAGCGCCCCAGGCCCGACCCGAAAAGCCCTTTTTTTTTTTTTTTTTTTTTTTTTGCCTTTACCGCGTAAACCAGTAAGATCCCTACCCCTTCTACGTTTCGGGTGAACTGGCGGTTTAACCTTTTCCATGGGGAAAACCCAGAAAAAAGGCTTGATTTTCACCCCCTCTCCACTTTTTTCCACCCCCTCTCCACCTTTTTTTCACCCCTCTCCACTTTTTTCACCTTGCTCCGTCAACTTTCACAAAGCAAGCAAAAACAGCAAGAATCAGCAGAAGCAGAAGCAGAAGCAGAAGCAGAAGCAGAAGCAGAAGAAGAAGCAGAGCTTGTCCCAGCGATATCCTCCAGCAGAGCTTGTCCCAAGCCAACCCTCCCCCCAAACGGGACCCCGGATATCTTGATGGCAATTCTGTCCTGTTTCAAGTGAATCGATTTTCCGGTCCGCCCATTTGGGGTGGGCTAACATAACTCCGCCTACGAAGTAACATACCTATGCGGCGAAAAGCCCCGAATTTTGGACCTTCCATTAAACGCGTGTCATATCAACGAGTAGAGAACTCTGTCGGGAGTATCTTTCCAACTCTGTCAATCAATAAATAGTAAATACGGATGAAAAGCATGAACTGTGCAGCCAGGTCCTGCATACCGTAGCGAGGGATTAGCAGCTTGCAATCATTCAAGCAATCCATGGAAACACTGCAACTTTCCTCGACCATTTGGCCCTGGTCGGCGACGTGGTTGCTACCTTCTTCCCCCGAATACAACGTACGGTCATTATAGCTGTATTTAGACGGAAAGATAGCCCAAATACAGCTAGAATGACCGTACGTTATATTCGGGGGAAGAAGGTAGTTGAGGAGACTTGGATATTGTTGCACCACCTCACTTTCCGTCGAACACCACACCATTTGCTCGCGACATATAATGGTGTTTTTAATTTTTAAAGGTTTACAATCTTACAAAGTTTAATCAACTTTAATTAATGCCGAAGTAATAAAGGGGAAAAAAAAAAAGAAGGAGAAGAAGAAGAAGATGGTGGTCCCCACAAAAGATCGGAGCGACCTTCCATGCAAGGCATCAATCCGGGTGATTCTCTCCCCATCACTTGCATAGTGACCTTTTACTGCGATGATAATAAAAAATAAAAAAAATAAAGAGAAAGAGAAAGAAAAGAAGAAGAAGAAGGTCAGAAAAATTATTCAAAAATATATGTATGGTACTAATTACTACTAAATGATCCCTTTCTAATTAATATTTTTGAAATTTGCATGCAATACACGATGTAGCTTGAGCTCCTACCCCTTGTTCTTGTCTTTTCCTTTTTCTTTTCCCTTTTCAAAATTCCCAAAATTTCCAAAATTTCCAAAATTCCAAAAATTTCCAAAATTTCCGAAATTTCCAAAATTTCCAAAATTTCCCAAATTTCCAAAAATACCTTGAACAGCTTCTCTAGAAGGTACCAGTTGTCCTTCTTAGTCTTCATGCTTGGGGTGTTTGAATAGGAATGCATGGACACGTCGTGTGGGTAGTACTTCGACAAGATCTCCGCAACCAAGAATCCGCTAGAGAAATCCCTGCAAGTTTTTTTTTTTTTTTTAACAAGTTAAAAAGTAAAATAAAAAAAAACATAGTCAATACATCGCACCCATGAAACTAAAAGAGAAATCCCTGGATGCCTTTTTTTTCTTTCTTTCTTTCTTTTTTTCTTTTTTTCCTTTTTTCCTTTTTTTTTCCCCTTGAAATGGTTTCACCCAGTAGACCCGACATTTGCAGACACAGAGATTCGATCCCTAGACCTGTGCCCAAACCCTGTACATTGACCCTGTGTGCTGAGTGAGATTCGATCCCTAGACCTACCCTGTGCCCTGTGCCCTGTACATAGGCTCAGCGATCTGTGTGAGACTCGATCCCTAGGTCTGTAGATTAGGAGTTAGCTCTGTTACCGTTAGGCTTAGGAAGGTCTGTTCTAGAAGTCTCTATCTGAGTCTACTGACGCCTGGAGTCTGTCTGTAAGTCTGTAGGCTCTAGAAGGTCGTACGTCCCTGTGGGCCAGTTCAGTCAGCAAGTACCAGGGGTAGGGGCTGCACGTGGGGAAGGTTCTGGACCACGCTGCCACACGTTTTGGCCCAGAAGGCCAAACGTCTGGAAACTTCCCTGGGCCACACGTTTTGGCCCAGGCCCACGCGTTTTGAGGCAGGCCCGGGTGCCTCCAAAGAGGTATAAATAAAGAGGCAGCGTCCAGCCATTCATTCATTTGCCTGTGAGCCATGCGGAAGTGCTGCCTTGGTATCTTGTGCGTGGAGGTCTGCAGGTGCCCGGAGAGGAAGTGGGCAGTGAGGAAGACAGCGGCCATAGCTGGCCAGTGAGGTAGACGACGGCGGCCATAGCCGCCCAGCTGTTGGTGCAGACAGGGTGTACAGAGTGTGTGTGTCTGTGCAACGTGGACATTCAGGGTGATCCTCGTACGTGCGTGCATGCGAGAGTGAGGGAGAGTGAGGCTGGTGGTAGAGACAGTGTTTGGCGGCCATAGCCGCAAGTTGTACAGTTGATTCACACTGAGTTCATACAAGTTCATTGTTGTTTCTGAGTTTGAAGAGTTTGGTTTACCATCGGTTCTCATGTATGCATGTTGTGAGCAAGTCCAGAGTCGAGTCTGATTGCATTGGTATCAGAGCTGGTACCCATTGTCCATGCCGGCGGAGCTGCAGCAAGCAAAGAAGAAGGAAGAAGCCGCCATAGCCGGAGCTCAGCAAGAAGGAAGAAGCCGCCATAGCCGGAGCTCGGCAGAGAGAGAGAGAGAGAGAGAGACAGAGAGAGAGAGAAAGAGTGGAAGAGAGAAAAGGGGGGACGGCATCCATAGCTGTCAAGCTCGGGGCAAGAGACGACCAGCGAGAAGAAGAGAGACGCAGAGAAAAGGAAGAAGAAAGTGACAAAGAAGGGAGACGAAGTCAGCCATAGCCAAGGTGGAAAAGACGAAGGTTTTGACGAAGAAGAAGAAGGTCCACCATAGCCGGAAGGTTGGAAGGTTGACCGGGGAGTTGACCAACGTTGACCAGGAGTTGACCGACGTTGACTGCGAGTTGACCAACGTTGACCAAGGGTTGACCAAGAGCAGTGACCAAGAGCGTTGACCAGGCGTTGACCGAAGTTGGCAACGGCATTGACCAAAAGCGTTGACCGGCGAGTTGGACAAGACCGTTGACCGGAGCGTCGACCCAGCTGGAGCGAGAAGAGTACCGGTACCATCTCTCCATGCCCTGGCCTATCCCTTACCCCGTGGATGTGCACCTTCACCCTGGTACTTGATGACGTCAAGTCTATCAAGGTCAGCCAGTCATATCTCCCTATCAGCTCCGTCTAGGTCGGTAGGACGCTGGGATTGTGGTCATAGAACCGTAAGTCTACCCCGAGTAGTGAGTCAAGACCCCTCGATAGAAGTTAACCTGCCTGGTCTATGTGTTGAGGCGCGGAATTGCTGTTGATTGTGCACCGTCACCATGGTGGACCTCAGGTCTGGAACTAGTACCACCGCCTACAGTAAGGAGCAAGAGGAGAGAGCTGCCGCTATCCTGTGAGAGAGGAAGGAGAGAATGGAGAAGAGGGAACTGATTAAGCAGGCCAACATGCTGGTCCTGCTGGAGGAGCAAGAGGCAAAGAAGAGGCAGATGGAGGAAGAGCTGAAGAAGTGGACGAAGGAGCAGGAGGAGAAGATGGCGGCTATACAAGTGGAGGTGGAGAAAGAAGAAGAAGAAAAGCAGGTGGAAGAAGAAGTACCGTTGGAAAGGAGAAGAGGTGGAGCCAGTACGATTAAGGAGGAGGAGATTCAAAAGACCACACAAGAATGGACCGCACATTTGGAGATGGGAGAAGATACGGAGGCCGAGCTGGCCATACCCCAAGCAGAGAGAGAAGCGGCGAGGAGAGAGTTGGAAGCAGAGAGGGACCCGGTGAGGAGAAAGGCGAAACAGGAGGAGCAGCAAAGGGCATGGAAGTGCTGCCTATCTCAAGAAAGAATTAGGCGTCTGGAAGCGGCAGAAAGAGCAGAACAAGATCTAAAGGCGGCGGAGACTAGGATGGGGAAGATCAGGGAAGAGACTGAGATAGCCACCAAACTCGATACCCTGACCCAAAGTGTGGAGTCTTTACTCATTGCACATCGCGAGCAAACGCAGTACATTTGCAGCTTAGAAGTAAAGATAGATGTGATACGTGCTGGGTTTAAAGATTTTGCGCGTGATATGATGAAGTACCTGGTGGACCAGGTCCACCTGGCAATTAGTAAGTCAAGGTCCCACCACGCCGTGTTAGCGACTCCTAAGGAAGAGGAGCCGTCCCCACCACGCCGTGAGAAAGTCAAGGTTCGTTTCCCCGAACCCTTCAGTGGAAAGAAGGGGGAAGATTTTGACAACTGGGAGGCCAACGTGCACTCCTATCTCTACTTATAGGGAGTCACGCCTAAGGACCACGTTTTGGTGGCCTTCCAGGCTCTTCGAGATGAGGCGACCAGCTTTGCTAGGTCGCTCGCCCGCGCTGCAAATTGCGAAAACGACATGGTCACCTATTCTAGACTGACACCCCTCTCTAAGTTCCTGAAATCGCTCAGGGAGCGATTCTCAGATGTGACGCGGGGGCTCAAAGCCTCCGACAAGCTCCAAATGATACACACTCGCAAGTGGAAGAGTGTGCATGCGCTCAAGTCCGCTATGGACGAATTGATTGCGGTCCCTGGGCATGGAGTAACGGATGCCCAGCTTCTGAACCTCTTTTATCGTGCCCTGCCTGAAAATATTCAGGGACACTTCTTTGAAAAGAAGAATCAGCAGGGCACGACTTATGACACTCTCAGTCCGGAGGCAGTTGCATTTGCCGCCCAAACGTCGCTAGTTACCATGTTCTGGCACAAGGACCTGTCAAAGGGAAAAACGTGGAAGGGACGCACCATCTCCGACCAAATTAAGGCCAAAGATAGTTTGATTCTGACGATGGAGAAAGGTGGTGCAGATGAGGTTCCCTACTCTGACATCGAGTGGGGACTAGAGGAGCAAGACAGTGGCGTTGGTCAGGGGAGAACCTACGGGAGGCCGCAAGAAGGAGGACAAAAGTCCGGCCAGAATGGTCGGGCCCCGAGTGGCCGAGGACAGGGCGGTCAGGGGGTTGGCAGCAATGGTAACCGCCAAGCGGGAGGAAGGGGAGGTCCCCTGTCTAACCGTCCGCGTTTTAGTCGGTCACCTCCCAGACAAGGATGGTGGCACCCAGGCCGGCCCGAGGGCCGACCCTGGGACGATCTGGGCATAGAGCAAAAAGTATGGCAATAATGCATCAACAGTTCTCAGTGCGTGTTCTACGGGGACCCAGGTCATATCATCAAATGTTGTCCCAAGTATAGGGACCGTGCTGCATCTGGGGCAGCAAAAGACGGTCGTCGGTAGGGGTCGCAACTGCCCCTACCCCACGAGAATGTGGATCTGAGCGTCCGCACAAAGTAGAGTCTCCCACTCCACATATCTCCATGGCAGAGGTTGCAGGTCGGCATCTAGTAGGTTGTCCAGAGACTGCTTGTGTTAGGGTCTCTCTAGACGTTTCCCTCACAGGCTTAGCTGAAGAGTTGAGAGAGAGGAGGCAAGCCCGGGCCAAGATGAAGAAGAATAGTAAAGGACAGCTTATCCTCGCAGGTGTAGAGATTTTTAGAGCTAGAGTAGGTGCCTTGATAGACAGTGGGGCGACTAGGAGCTATATCAGTCATAAAGCGCTGAAAAGGTTGAAGCTAAATCTAAAGGTCCAGCGATTAGAGGAACCTGTGGTCAGCATCCTCGCAGACAATAGTAGGATGCGCGTTGACTTGACCCTCCTCGTAGAAGAGAGTCTCCCGTTTGACATTGTCCTAGGCACGGATTGGGGAGAGGCAGCAGGAGCCACACGTCACCTTAGAGAGCACTAGTGTAGGCTCCCTAGAGCGTCAGGCGAAGTCAAGCAAGTCCGCATGTTCCATGAGTCCGGGGTAGATAATCCCCTCAACCATGGCTGCCTCAACGCTCCTGCATTCGCCAGACTTGTATATGTAAGAGCGATTTCTGTCGAGCCAAGAGAAGAAGAAAAGATCCATCCTACTATCGTCACTTTGCTGGAAGAGTACAAAGACCTATCTGAAGCACCTTCAGGAGTAGTGCCCAGACCGATCCAGCATCGCATAGAGATAGAACCTGGCAGCATAATGCCTATATGATGTCTCCTAAGGAGTTAGAGGAGCTTCACAAACAATTAGATGAGCTCCTAGAGAAAGGATGGATCAGGCCTAGCTCGTCACTGTTTGGCACACCTGTTCTGTTCGTCCCAAAGGAGGGAGAGTTACGCATGTGTATAGACTACAGGGGACCGAACGCCATCACAATCAAGAATGCAGAGCCCTTGCCGCGTATAGATGACTTGTTACATCGAGTGCAGAGATGCAGGTACTTCTCGAAGATAGATCTGAAATCGGGGTACCATCAGATAGAAGTGCATACAAACGATCAGTACAAGACGACATTCAGGACCAGGTATGGGCATTACGAGTTCATAGTGATGTCGTTTGGACTTACTAATGCACCGGCTACATTTCACGACTTGTTTAGACCGTGGATAGATAGATTCGTCCTAGTTTATTTAGACGATATTTTAGTGTTCAGCAAGACCCTTGAGGAACATGAGGGCCAACTGCGGCAGATTTTAAGCAAGTTGAGAGAGTCTAACTTCAAGATTAACCCAAAGAAGTGCGAATGGGCCAAGACAGAGGTCCTTTACCTAGACCATGTACTAGACGACGACGACATTCGGCCTGAGGACAGTAAGATTGCATCCATTAGAGTTTGGCCAACTCCTAAGACGTTGATAGAGTTGCACTCATTTTTAGGACTGGCTAACTACTATAGAAAGTTTGTGAGGAACTTCTCTACGATCGCTGCTCCCCTTCGTAGATTATTGAAGAAAGAGACAATTTGGAAGTGGGACCAGGATTGCACGTCAGCCTTCAAGAAATTAAAGAAGGCTCTAATGGAGTACCCTGTTCTCAAAGTTGTTGATCCGTCATTACCATTTGTCGTCACTACAGACGCTAGTCAGTATGGCATAGGTGTCGTTCTACAGCAAGATGACGGCAACGGTCATAGGCCCGTAGAGTTCATATCAGCCAGGCTGCCCTCAGAGAAAGTTGCAGCATTGACATATGAGAGGGAACTCTACGCTCTCGGGCAGGCCTTAGATCACTGGAAACACTACCTGCTTGGGAGGCACTTCAAGGTATATTCTGATCACGAGACTCTTCGATGGCTAAAGACACAGGCCAAAATAACGCCCAAGTTGAATAGATGGGCTGCTGAGATAGACCAATTTGATTTTGAGTTAAAGCCTATAAAAGGAAAGTATAACGTTGTAGCCGATGCTCTGAGTAGGAGAGTTGATTACTTCGGCGCAATAGTGCACTATCTAGACATAGGGGCCGATCTGCAGCAGAAGATCAGAGATGCATACCCTCAGGACCCGATCTACAGTGATCTGCTGACAAGAGGAAAGGAAGCCCCAGATAGTGAACCACACTACCGGACCACTACCGCCTTCACCTGAATACAACGCCCGGTCATTATAGCTGTATCTGGACTGAATGGTGCTCCGAATACAGATTTAATGACCGGGCATTTTATTTGGGTGAAGACGCTAGTCCGTGTACAAGACACGCAAAAAAAGAAAAAAAAGTACCCAAAAAAGACCAGGTTTCAAGGCCCAGACTCGAAATACCCAGCAGCCCGCGGGCCCGAAGCTGTACCAACCCTGTCCTACACTTACAAATAAGACCAAGGTTCAAGGCCCAGACTCGAAATACTCAATAGCCTGCCAGCCCGAAACTGTACCCACCCTGCGGACTCCAAATACTCAATAGACTATACTCAATAGACAACATGGCCTTGACTATCCAGTGTCCAGTACAGGTTAATTGCCTATTGAAACCATTAAAGCACCCGTACATGGGCACCTGGACCGCGTGCCGAACACCTCGAAATCTGGAAGCACGAAACGAAAACGTGACCACTGACCCAGTTTATCGGCGGCAGGCCCAGCGCTTGACGTTTCGGCCTCGTTTCCTTGTGCCGACAAGGTTCGGACTGCAAGGCAGGGGCCGTGTACTAGTGGTTTAAACCACTGCAGTACTTCCTAGAGTCGTGCCCGTTAACGCGCCACGATTTTAGGAAACGTACGGGCTACTACAGGAGCGCCCAAATTCATCCGACTAGAAACGTTTCTACTCATTTTTTTTCCACGGCCGATAGCTGGGCCAAGTACTAGTGGTTTAAGGTTAAAAGACATGGTATTAATTCCTAAAGCAGGAGACCACCAAATACCTATTACAGGCCAAGCAGCTAGGAAGAACTGAAGAGAACGAGAATCGTTAAGGACGGACAAGTACGTGTCTGCCTGGTAGCTTAAAAGCATTACAACTAATACGCACACATAGATGTACGGTTCTGTAGTAGAGAGAAAAACTATATCTTTTTATCAACTATAATTATGTAATTAACGATTACCTAGCAGTGATAAACATGTCGAGGGTTCAAATCCCAATTCCACTGAAAAATAATGTGTAAAGGACCCATTGATTCCTTATCGCAACTTTATCAGGCAGCAGAACTAAACCCTAAACCCTAAACCCGAGACCCTAGAAGTCCTAAACCTAATAATAACTATGACGTTACCTTTCCTCAGTGCCTTTTTTTTTCTTTTTCTTTCTCTTTTTTTAAACCACAACCCATGTGAGGCCTCGCGGGGATCTCAGCAGGCAGCAGAGGGCCAGTAGGCCCCGAAAAGGTACTGCCTACTGCCTGCACAGGGCCACAGAGAGAGAGAGAGAGAGAGAGAGAGAGAGCTATTCATCATCAAGAGAGAGAGAGAGAGAGAGAGCTAT